CAGCTCGGGCTCCAGCTCCCCAGATGCGGTTGGGGCCAGGCCCGCAGGCGGGTGCGGGCAGCGTGGGGCGCCTTGGGTGGGCAGAGCTCAGGTTGAGCCCTCCCTGGCTCTGGGCGCGGGGCTCACCAGGAACTAGGAACCAGTTGAGGTGGGGGGCGGGGGGGCACCTCCGTCCCCTCCCCTCGCTGGCCTCAGAACTCCAAGCTCAGCCAGTCATGCCTCCCTCACCCACGACCCCAGCACCCAGCCGAGCCCAGACGCTAGGACACACATTTCACTAACCCTTCAAAGGGGGCTTGGGGGGGGGGCCTCCCCATTCTAGAGAAGGGAAAACTGAGGCTCGGCCTGTGAGCGGAACAAAGAGGAGCAGAGCCCTCTCTCCAGCTCACCCCCTTGAAAGAATTCAGAGCCTCTTGGAAGAACAGGGCAAAGGGCAAGAAAATAGAGGTCAGAAGGGAAAGGGGCCGAGGTCGGGCTTCCCAGCAGGTCCCTGCCTGCCCCACGGGAGTGGGCCAGCAGCGAGCACCCAGGTGAGGCACAGGTGAGCCAGGAGCGGAGTCCCCAGGGAACTGTCCCTGCTGAGTTCCAGCGGAGAGAAGGGGAGAAGCTACCGGAGACAGGCCCCACCCTGAACCCGCCACCTGGGTAGGACAGGCCAAGTGTCTGGGCTCAGAGGGGTCATTCAGAGACCACATGCCTCAGAGGGACCCCCCCCACACACAATGACACTAGTCTTCACCCACATACATCCCAGTGCTCACACTATTCCTGTAAAGTGTCCCCAAGCCCCACATGCTGGTAACTGATTACAGATCTGTGCTCACTTCCCACAAGTGCGAGTCCCTGGGGGTGATGCAGAGAGTCCCCAGACCACAGTCACCCTCAAACTCCTGCCCTTGGCAGAGGGAAGCTAGCAAATCTAGGGCAGAGCAGGGCAGTCTCCTTATTTGAAGATGGGTGAAACCTCGCTGGGGAAAGGACAGCTGACGTGCATGCCGTCGCCCAGCCCTGGTCCGGTCTGTGGCTCCTCTGGCTCCCCTACACTCTCTCCCTCTGCCTCCCCCCCCAACCCGGGACCTACCCAGCTCTATATTGATATGCCCTGATTCCAACGAAGAGAGAGACTTGGGAGGAAAAACAGCAAGAAGCACTCTTGAGGAGTTGGAGGAGTCCTGAGGAAGGGGCAGCTATTTCGGCAGCTCCCAGGGGGGGCGGGGAAGCTAGGAGGGGATTTCAGGTCCCAAAGCCATCAGACATTCAGAGGCGCAGATCCGCGCCCACGCGCATGGGAGCACCCACACAAGCACCCCGCGGGCAGAGGAGTCCCAGACGCACCAGATACCTCCCTCCTCTCCTCCCTGGAGGGCTGCTCAGCCTTGTGCAAGCACAGGGCCCCCCAGGCTTCAGGATGCACCGGGCAGGGGCACCCAGGGGTCACTGAGAGGAAATGAGACAGAGTCCCCAGGATTCTTTGTGCATCCCCATGCCCTTTGCTAGTGAGAACATGCAGGGGATATGTCCAAGATCTGACTCCTGGGGTACCACCCAGCCTCTCCAGGAGTGGGGGCTACAGGGGAAGGAACTGGACCCTGAGGGCTGGGTTGTTTCCAGAGAGTCTGAGTTCTGGGAAAGGTTCTCTCTCTCTCAGCATCCCTCTAGCGCCCCATTCCTGACTCTTCGAGTGGGCTGCAGCGGGGCTGGGGGAGGTGTTTACCTCAGAGACAGGCTGGCACTTAATCTGACGAGGCCTGAGATAGCAATTAGAGCTGGCCTGCT